AATCAGCACGATGATCTCGCTAGTCGGCTAAAAAGTAGAGGTCAAAGGGACAATGCTCTTTGTGGGGGGCTTGGGGGCTTATAAGCCCACCCATAAGGATTATTTTTTCTTTAATAACCCTAGCCGTATATACTAAAAATTGAGTCAATATCTCTTGTATTTGTAGTTGTTGATTAATAACCTAATAAGAACTCATAATTCAATCGTGGAGTAGGCATAATTACTAACCCACGTAGATCTTTATATCGTGTAATTATTTTTTCTTTTTATTTTATTCTTTTACTTGATTTATTCCTTACCTAGGATTGCAATAGATCACTCTTTTTTAACTAAAGAAAGGAAATGTGAAGTTTGAAAAAAACGAGCTTACTAATCGTAAATGGGTGCATGTTGAACCCAAAGACGGGCATGAGATTCATACTCTCTATGCAGAAGTAATTTGCTGATTCAACACAGCGAACACTCTCCCTATGTGATTTATTTTCTTATTTCCTTTGGACTAGTAGAATTTAGGATCAAGTGAAATAAAAAATAATTGTTTTTTATACAAAAAATTTCGTAACGATCTAATACTAAATTAATATAGATTTTTGATTAAAAAAATCAATATAGCTTGGTATTTCCTTTTTATATTCTCGTTAAAAAAAAAACAAAAAGTATGTGCTAGTTGTATAAAATATAATATTTAATATGATGAAATTAATAAAACTAATATATATTTACAAATCATAATTAAAATTTCCATAACACTTCACATCATATTAAAAATCATAACTCAAACTACCAATGAGGTAGCATTTCATAGTTAAAATAATAATACTTAAAAAAAATCGATAAGACATTTTATGAATCTTAATACAACTAAAAAATAAATGTTTGATTGAAATTTCTTTAATATTTTAAGAAGTCAATTGAAATTAAAACATAAAATGAATAATATTATTAGTTATGTTGGTTTAATAAATAGAAATGAAGAATTGAAATTTTGATTAAAAAAATCAAAAGAGTAATTAATACAAATAAAATCTCAAAACTAAATTGAAAACCTCTCAAATCTCAAAATTGAACAAATTAAAATTTATCAAAAAAAGCAAGTGAATTAACGAAAAAAAAACTAAACCAAAATGTTAGTTTACTATTCATTAACACTCGTTTCAAACACTATTCATTCAGATTTATATGCATTATTTATACAAACTTATGTGCACTATTTTTTCACATTTATTATAAATTTTTTTTGTGACATTCCTTTTTTTAAAATATTTTTAGTTTGTAAATGTTTTTGGTTTATTTTGATCGCTCTTTTTTAAACATTTTTTTTTCAATTTTTTTTTATTTTGATCCCCTTTTTTTGTTTCATCTTGGTCTCTTTAATTCTTTTTTTTTCCTCTTATTTTTTAATTAAAAATTTTCAAGCAAAAAAATTTTCTTTTAATAATTTACAAAATAAGTTTTTAGCTAAGAATCCATTAATTTTAACATTTTTCTCTCATTATTATATTTTCTAGTTAAAAATGTGAATAAAAATAAATAAATAATATTTTTTAATAAAAAATTATTAAATTATGAAGAATAATTAGTCAAATAGAAGATTTTAATTATAAAAATAAATAAATTATTTTTAAGTTTTGATTTGATATATTTTGATAGATACACAATATAACACAAGATATCAAACTCAAATAATTTTTTAAAAATAATTTTATATTACAAAGGTGAAAAAAACAAGCTAATTACTATCTAACTAAAAGAGGTAGGGTGTTTGAACATTGATTTTTTATGTTTACCCCCTCACAAATCACTATTCAATCACTCGTAGCAAACTTTTTTTTTATATATATAATTTTTAAGTTATTTCATTTTGGTACCTAAAATTTTAAAATAAAAATTTTAACCCTCTAACCGATGCATTATATGTTTTTTTTTTCTTTGATTTTTTTCATCAATTTATGTTTTTTTTTATTTAACCGAGCGTGAAAATTTTGAAAAATCAATGGTTATTTTTTTCCATATAAACTGAAAATTTTATAATATATATAATATGTTTTTAGATTTTAGAATAAATATATACTACGCTTATTGTTTAAAATTGATCTTTTCAATTTATTATAAAAATTCACATCCACCTAATTTTTATTCTTATTTTTATATAATTTTATTTATTAATAAATATAATTTATTTTCTATTTGTATGGATTCAAATGAGTTTTTTTAATACTTTTTTTATTTGCTTAATTCTTATATAATAAAATTGTAAAAATAAAATAGACGTATTTTATTTTCTTATTCTTTATATAATTAAATTTTATCAAAATTAATTTTATATTTTTTATTGTACTCTATTAACTTCAATATATATTTTATGATTTAATTTTTTAAAATGTTTTTTAATTTATGCTATACATTCTCATCAATCGAGTACGATCATGATGTATAAAAATATAATAATATTAGAGTCATTGATTTTAATATTTTTAAATTAATTGTTTAAATAAAGTAATTGAAATAATATTTTAGAATAACTCGTCTAATAATTCGAATATAATTTTGTATACTAATATTATTCATTAATTTGTAAATAAATATATATAAACCAAATGTACAAATTTAGAAAAAAAATCTTATCATTAGTAAAAAAAACTTCATTTGTTAATTTTCATACAAGTTTTTATATTAATTATTTTTTTATTTCTTCAATGCAATGTTATGAAAAAAAATATTAAGACTTTTTTTTAAAATTTATATTAAAATTTTTTTATTATGATTTTTTATTTAATAATAAATGCATAAGAAAGAAAAAATCATATTTGTTTTTACTTCAAAATTTATTCAAAACATAATATATATATACAAAATTTTGATGAAAATAATAAAATTTAATCTTTTATAATAATATATTTTAATTAATCGACAATATAGTATATGTTATCAAATTAAAATAAATATGTCTAATTTTGTTCGCAGCGTAGCGCAAGAATCCGAAATGTTCATATGTCTAAAATTTTTATTCACATACTCTTAATATGCATAAAATTACTATTTTCTTGATAGTAATTTAAGTAATTTTCATGTATAGTTTTTTTTATGTGTTTTTGGGCTTTAATATGCAAATTTAACACTTTTTTTTATTTTCGTCTCTCATGTTGTAACATTTTTTTCAATCCTCAACTTTCATTTTTCTTTCATTTCCATGCAGCATATATATTTATTAAAATTAATATATTCTTCAGTTTATATTACTTTTATTATTTGAATTTATCATTTTTTATGAAAATTCTCCTCCAATTAATATTTTTATATAAAATTTTATTTACTGATAAATATAATTTATTTTTCTCTATGTTTATGTTTGAATTTTAAAACATGATGGTTTTTTCTTTTTCAAAAAATAAATTGTTGTATAACATGATTGTTTTTTTCTTTTTCAAAAAATAAATTGCTATATATATATCATGAATGCTTATAATTTTTAAGTGATAATTGCATATATAAATATATAATTATTTTATTCTAATAGGTTAAAAGTATATTTCAAATAATTTATCTTAATTCACTAGGTGTGGTCAACATATATAAAAATTATTGAATCATTATTTTTATTAAAAATTAACTATACATCTTTCAACATAATACAAATTATTTACTTTGTATATCTTTTAAAAATTATAGAACCAACTTATTTAAAATAAAATAATTAAAATAGTTTTTTAATGAAACTAATCAATTATTCAAATACAGTTTTTATGCTAATTTTATTGATTATTATTTTGTAAATAAATATATAAAGATCAAATGCATATATTTTAAAAAATAATCTTCTCACTAGTATTAAATAAGAATAAAATTTTATTTTTTCATTAGTTAATTTTTATACAAGTCTATAAATTAATTGTAACTTTATTTTTTGAACATACTCTTATAAAAAATATATATTTTTTGAATTCTTAATTAATATTTTAAGTTTAAATTATTATAAATTTTTATTTAAAAGCCTCTGAATAAAGAAAAATAAATCATATTTTTTTAAATAAAAATTTTATGAAAAACACAAAAAATAGTAATAATTACTATTTACCCGCAACGTTCCGTGGAATTTAAAAAATTAATCTTTTCATCAAGATTAAATAAGAATTTTTTCATTTGTTAATTTGTGTAAAAATTTATTCATTAATTATAATTTTATTTTTTGAAATACAATATTATGAAAAATGTTCTTATAATTTTTTTAATTCTTAATTAATATTTTAAATAAAAATTATAATTTATATTTTTAAGCAAAAAATTTATAAAAAAAACATTAAATAAACTAATTAAATATAAAATTATAATTAAAGAAATATAAAATTTTAAAATTACTTTATTTTATTGAATGTACAACGTAGCGCGCAAACAACCAACTATTATTACACTTAAAGGAGAATAAGACGTCCTTGTGAAAATTTAAATAATAAAGAGAGAGAGAGAGAGAGAGAGAGAGAGAGAGAGAGAACAATCTAATACAAAATAATTCCCTTGGGTATGTCATAGACTGACAAACAACAATTCCTGTAATGTGATGTGATTATTAAAAATCCTCCCCTTCGTAACTCTGTCCAACTGCACCAAACCATTTTACTAACTACACGTCTCCATGAAATCTTGCACTAAATCTGCCTTCTAAAACCTACAATAAATTCTTTTCTTTTCCTCTCTTTTTTCATTATAATGAAAACCCGCATGGATGTTAAAGCAATCAAATTTCGCTATGCATCAGATGATCATGTCATTACAACGTAAGCCCATATCTTTCTCATACTTGATTTTAGTACACAACTAATGCTGTCATCTGGACCTTGGTTGTCATTTTTTTTTTCTTTTGTTTCTGTTTTTAATTAGAAAATAACCATATTTAATAGAGGAAATGAGAGACCATCAATAAGATTGCGATCAAGAAATTTTTCTTGGAGCCAGCAGAAAATCAACATGTTAGTTGAAAAAAGGCACCACAACCAGGCATAGAACTATTGAAGCCAAGCAAGGAAATCACCTGGACTAACAACCGCCTGCTTATCAAGATCATCGGCCACTGGATTTGCCTCCCACATTGCAGGAACGAAATTTACTAGCTCCAATCCATTTGGATCTAAAGGGGGTGGAGAGTAATAGTCCTAAAGATGTATAGGAATTTCCAAGGCTTAGTGATCTTCCCCTCTCCCACCAACACTACATTTCCATCGTCAAGATCGAATGCCCAGAGAGCATAAAACAATATTAAGCAATAGCCTCATTTGAATCTATTATGCTAGTGGACACCAGAGTATTCAAAAACATTTTCCATTTCGGTCCATTTTCTTCCAGGGTTTGCAAAATTTAACAGATTTTCCATGGAGATTCTTAAAATAAAACTTCGAAAACAGTTACGCCGTAGGGAACAAAAAACACAAAAATATTGAACCTACTTTGACCTAGCACGAAAGTAAACATCCACTAGATATCATTTATAATTCTTAATTATCTTCCAGAGGAAGAGCAAAACAGGGAAGCACGAGGGAGCAATCGCCTCACATACAATCTATAGAAAACTACTTGCAAGCATAACCATCGGCCACTGGTACACAAATGAAAGCTGTGAAGCTGTGATCGATTTATGTATCTTGAAATATTAAGGCTTGGGCAATGGCAAAATTTTCTGCTTCAAATGATGAAACCGATTAAAAAAAGATACCAATGCAACAAATGAAGCAAACCTGGCAACTTTGAAGGATATTAACTACCTGACGTAATGCCTAGCAACAAATAGACAGGTTTCCTTTCTATGAGCTGATGGGATTATTAAACGTTAAACGGTTTCGTTAAGCTGTTAAACTCACATTGCCCAGGGCAGGTTGAATAATTTAAGGCTAATATAATATGGAAAGAGTCCATAGTGCTTAAAGTTGAAACAAAGTGAAAATAAAACAAATAAAAGAGGAAAGACAAGGGATAAATCAGACAAACAAAACCAGACCTAAATCACAACATCTAATACACCGTCCACACAAATCTAGATGGTATTTTATTACTTAGAACAGGCGATAAATCTGGTGAAATAGGAAGGGAAAACCAAGACTAAGGTAGTATAGCAGTGATAAGGGAAAAAAAAACAAAAAACAAAAAAGAACTACAATGGTATATCTAAAGCATTAACAGGCAAAATAAATCTCCTGCACTGCATGTGATCTAACCACTCGAGTTTCTATTTCAGCAGCTTGAAAACAGATCAGCAGATCCTGCAGACTTGAAAATGCAGTCAGCATCCACTCACAAAAGTAGCAAAGCCCAGTGCTTCGACTAAAGTAATCAGTTCCCTGAAAAGAACAGCCATTGCAAAGGCCTCTTGACAACGAAGCACGTTAACCAGATCAAAAAAAATTCAAACAGTTGTTAAAAAATAAGCACCAACAAAGACTAAGCAAAAAGATTTTAACATAATGAAGGCTGAAGAGATTAAAGGTTTAGAGCTCCCTTCAATCCAAATGAGGATCTACCTGCAGGTAATAAAGCTCCTGAGATATGCAAGCCGCAAGCCTATCCAAATGACTGCCGATTATAGATAGGGCTGTGGGATCCATAGCTCAGCAGCTCAATCGACCCAGTAAGATCCTCTATTGGACTTCAAGGAGCTCCACTCCTGAATCCATCACTCGTCTCAGCTTTGAAAACATACAGTACCTTCAAAACCCTAAAACACAGTCCTGACAAATCAAATAACAAACAAACATGAGCACATACATAGATGACAATCCTAGCATCAACTTCACCGGTACATCCCAATTATATTTCGCATAAAGTTACAGATCTGGTTGACCTCACTGCACCTCTTTCTCTAACCCTAGAAAATGCGTCAACTTAAAGAAAACCCAAAGGAAAAAAATAAAAGAACAGATTAGCCTAAGGCCCAAGAAATTTGGAGATAACACACTAACTTTGATCACTAATTAATATTGAATCCATAAAAAAATAAGAGAAGAAAAGGGTTTAAAGAGAACAACAAAAACCTTTCAAGTCCGAAGTTTCAATAGTTTAAGACACCAGTATCTCCAGTCTCAACAAAAACAGGAGAGATTCGGGCAAGATAGGTATTCCAAATAAGAGATCGTGTCCTTATAAACAAACCCTAGACCACAAATAGCTTATCTACAACGACTCTTTAATGCTACTTTTTATAGACATCTACATGTAGTCCAAAAACCAACTACAGAACCCTATTTGAACCACCCATCTACCCTAAAACACTAAATTTAAACACTGTAACCCACTTGAAAATTACCTTTTGGTGAAAAGAGGAGGGTGATAGCTGACATTTTTATAGTGGTTAGAGGTGATTAATAATGGTGGGTCGGCAGTAGCTGTTTTTTTGCCTCTACAAAGAAAAAGTCTGTTGTTATGGCTTGTTAGATTCCTTGGAGTGGCGATCACATGCCTTGTTTGCTTGCGGACACGATATATTCGTTCATTTTATCGATATTTTCACTTTGAAACAGTGCGTAAAATGTTTTAAATTTATTAATGGATAAAATATTAATTATTAGTCAGCAAATAAATAAATTTCGCTAATACCTTTCATAAATCCAATATTAATATCTTTCGATTAATGAATTCGATAAGATAATTATACGATAATAGCATTGCTACTTGCCATAAAATCTTTGTTTATGCTGGCATTATAGAACGCAGAAGCCTTTATTTAATTCCACCTATATCTCTTTGTCCAAAGCACTGACTTTTGGTAACGTTTACGACGTAAATTCAAATAAATGGCACGATTTGATCTCTTTTTTCAATGCCGCTGTCTGCCATGAAAGAATCTTGGATGCGGAATCGTTTGGTGCTCATCGTGGTACTGCTGATGTTAGATGTGCATGTGTGCGGAAGAAAGTGCAATCTTTTTGTAGCTAAATGAAACCACGGTTTGTGGTTACGTAGTTTCTGTTGATTTTCATTCTACCATATTTATTTGAAATTTATATTTTTATTAAGTTTTTATTAATTTTATGATAAAAATACATTGATTTATGCATGATTGAATGTTTAATTTTTTTCATGATTAAAAATATGTTAAAACTTATGAATAATTTGTTTTTCTTTTCAAAACTTGATTATTTTTCTTTAAACTTAGTTCTTAGCATTTAAGAGGGAAAAAAAAGTTTTAAAAGAAAAAACAAGACATCCATAACTTTAAAATATTTTTCAGTTGTTAAGAGATAACATTTACTCGTTATAATTAATAAAAATCTAATAGAATAATTCAATTTTAAATAAAAAATGATTAGAATGAGATTTAACTTAAAATTGAAAGTTGCGAGATCGATTTCAAAAGATTTAAAATTCAAAAGAAGTTTTCTAGTATTATTATATGATTATCGCTTAAACATAATTTACTTTCGATTAAGTAACTTTGTATGCAACTATATTATGAACTCATTCTTGTTGAACTTGTTCTACTAGAATCATTTAGTAGTAGTAATAGCAATTTTGCTATGTACTTATCTATAAGCCATGATAAGTATAACATTAAATTTATTACATATTTGGTGTATCAATTTTTGAGGACTACTGCTACAGTGTCTTTTTCCTCTTCTAGGATTGCTACTTGTAAGTCTTCATCATCTTCAAAGGCTCTTGCATATAACCAACAATAAGATAGATATAAAAGTTAAGTAGAAGTCTTAACTCTTATTTTTGTATATTTCATATTGTTTTGTATTATTATCTTATGTAAAAAACTCTATAAAAGATAGAGTATTATAAATTAATAAGCACATGAAAAATATTCTATAATTCAAAGACTCTTATCACTCAATTCGATATCAAAGGGATTACTATTATTCTCTTTCTCCTTCATGCACCATTACTGTAATTTTTTTTTGTTTTGTTTTTTTCGTTTCTTCTTGAAATTCCAAATGGCCTATTTTAGCAATCCCTCCCCTTATATTACTGCTACTATAAACTAAAACACAACCCTCTCCTATACCATTGAGTCCATCTAACAACTTTCATCACTTTCTCTCTTTAAAATTAACCCACATCAATTTTCTCTTATGGCATGTCTAGAAGAAGCCATTCCTCCTAGGCCAAGGCCTTTATAGCTTTATTTATGAATGACACCTATATCCTCCTAGCCATTTTATTATTGTAGAATCAAGTCTTCTACAGGTGAATCCTTCTCACCTAACTTGGATCTAATAAGATTAACTTTTAATAAGTATAATCATCTCATCTCTTTTGCTCTCTCCTAATATCCTTCATATGATCTTTGATTGTACCACTTTCTAGGGAGTATGGTCTATTCTTAAGAGTGCCTTAACTTCTCCCTTTAGCACCCAAATTATGTCCTTATATCATGTCTTGTAAAAACTCCATCGGGAGTCGAATGAATTAATCTCTCAATTTCTACATCGTGTAAAATCTTATAGTGATGAAATCTTTATAGATAGTCATTAAGGATCATGTATCATATAGAGGTGCGGAATAAACAAAAAAATTTCCTCCATATAAAGGTCCAAAATCAAGCCGTTGAATCTACTAACTATACATGCATGAATCTAAAGCAAGAAATAAGGATTATCCCTTTTAGTATAGATATAAATTTCTTTTTAGAAAAACTACCTAAGTGTCCAACCTCTATTGATAATCCATGCAGTCTAAGTATCTATAAAGAAACTTTTAAAATTGGTAGGGTGTTACCTTCTCCTTTTCGATTTAGTGTTTCCTATAGCAATCAATCTCGAATAATTTATGATAACTTTAAAAGAGAAGGAAAGAGTAGGGCTTGCTAGGGTTTTGGAGAAAATTATTTTCTCCTATTCTCCTCTCTTAGGCGTGTGCCCTAATGTGTTTTTAGAGTCGGCTAAATTTTTTCACTAAAAAATTCTCTCCCCTTTTCTAGTTTTTGACCAAACCTCTCTCTCTTCAAAATCATCTCTTATGTCATATCTCTCCTTCTATTTATAGGGGGTGAGTTTCCTTATCCTCCAAGGATAAGAAGAGGGGGATGAATAAGTCATAATTGAACTTATGGTTGTTGCTTTCTTATCCTTCAAGGATGATGAGTTATTTTGCATATGAGACTTTTGATCATTATCTTTAAAACATTCATCATTATCCAATAAGATTGATGTTTATCCTCCCATCAAAATATCTTAACGTTTTTTAATTAAACCTAAGGGGCCAAAATCATTTTAGCCGAATTAATTTATTTAGACTATCCAAATAAACAATCTTAGATTATTTTAGGACGATCCACATTAGAAAATAATTTTCTAAAATACCCTTTAACCTAAATTAAGAAACACTTTTTCATTTTAGGTTATTTACTTCTAAATTTGGAACTAACTTTCAAATTAGGAAACTAATTTCTAAAATAGAAAACTTTGAAAACTTTTCAATTTGAAAACCCTTTTCAAAATAAAAAACTTTCATAATTAGAAACTTTTTTCAATATCTTTGCTTCTCATTTACAATGTGAATATTTAAACTTATACATGTGACTCGATAGGCTTCTAGATATGTTGGTAATCTTCTTTTTTATCTCTTGATACATAAATCAAGATTAGCCTCTAGTAAGACATCATGACTACCCAATTCTTTAGGACGATTAGTTAATCTATTATTACTTTTTATGAGCATGGTTACCATACAATTCAAACCTCATGTCAACTTATCACGAGTGTAATCTCGAAATTGGTTATAAGTCTTGTTTGATTATGATTACATAAGTTTTTTTCGATTTCTAAATGTCTTAACTCTTAGAGTAAACCAATTATTCTCTATTGGTTTACTTCTCTTATGGTCATAGATTTCTTGAGTAGATATTTATCGAAATGCAATGTGATAACTCCTTTAGCATACAAGAAATGACATATCTTATCTTAGTCATACACTTACCTTCATTAGATTTCTAGTGCACTCAATAAATTATCCACGTGTATCCCATTAATGGGTCTATTGAAATGAGTGTCAAAGTGCATAAGTCCTTTAATGAGACAACCGTGATGACTTGTCTAAGACATCATGACTACCTAATTCTTTAGAAGAATTAGTTAATCCATTATTAACTTTCATGAGCATGGTTACCATAAAATTCAAACCTCATATCAACTTATCACGAGTGTAATCTCAAACTTGGTTATAAGTCTTATTCAATTATGATCACATAAGTTTTCTTTGATTCTCAAATGTCTTAACTCTTAGAGTAAATCAACTATGCTCTATTGGTGTACTCCTACTATGGCCATAGATTTCTTAAGTAGACATTTATCGAAGTGTAATATGATAACTCTTTTAGCATACAAGGAATGACATGTCCTATCTTAGTCATACACCTACCTCAATTAGATTCTTAGTGTACCCAACGAATCACTTATGTGTAACCCTTTAATGGGTTTATCGAAACGAATATCAAAGTATATAGATCCTCTAATGAGACAACAATGATAACTTTAAGTCTAAGGCATCATGACTATCCAATTCTTTAAGAGGATTAGTTGATCCATTATTACTTTTTCCGAGCATGGTTACCATGCAATTCAAATCTCATGTTAAATTATAACAATGTGATCTCGAACTTACTTATAAGACTTATTTGATTATGATCATATAAGTTTTTTTTTATTCTTAAAATGTCTTAGCTCTTAGAGTAAATCAACCATGCTTTATTGGTGTACTCTTACTATGGCCATAGATTTTTTGAGCAAACATTTATCGAAGTGAAATATGATAACTCTTTTAGCATACAAGAAATGACATATCCTATCTTAGTCATACACCTATCTCCATTAGATTTTTAGTGCACCCAACGAATCACCCACTTGCAATCCTTTAATGGTCCATCGAAATGAGTATCAAAGTGCATAAATCCTCTAATGAGATAACTTTGATGACTTCAAGTCTAAGGATCATTTGTACCCATCTCATATCGATTCTCATAGATTAAAAACAAATGAGTTCTCATTATGAGTCATGTCCAAGTGATATGTTTTCTAACATAAATCAACTAAGTGCTTGCTTTGGCATCATCATGCCAATAAGTGTAAGATCTCATTATCGTTATCATATAGCATGAGCATTGCACTTATAAGTCTATCTACATATAGTCGATATCCATTCTTGGTAATGCTATGACTTGGGACGTTTAATGATATCATTTATGTATATTAGTGTTTGTCTCACATCTTTTTTTTTCAATCACTATTGTAAATGCATATCATAAGGACTTCTATCTAATTCTACTAAATTTATTCATATGAAAATATAAGAATTAATAGAATGAATTCTTTATTATTATTAATACAATAATACATTA